TAAAATAGTATTTTTGCCCCAAAAGGGCTTTCAGCCAAAAAACAACTGGTGTGTTTCAGCTTGGTGAGTCACGTGTCCTTTAAACAAAAAAAGATAAAGCGTGTCTGAAAGTCCTGATCTTAATAAATTGGAATAAATCCAGTGGATCCAGTGGTTTCAGTGGACGGAGGTTGTAACGTCGTTCTTAAGGTAAATGAGGAGAAAAGGTGATGCAAATTATTCAAGAGCAGGACTGAAAAGGTCGTCTGTTTTCGCCGTCCGTGCACCGGTGTCACATGTTCTTCTGCTTTTGCACAGTAATATTTTATCACTTTGTAGTGCATCATTTGTGTGGTGACAACTTTGTAAATAATCGCGTTTTCCCAAATGCATCTCGTTGCTCGTGCCCCCCGTACACCCACCGTCCACAGGCTTGTACACTGGACACAACAATAGCTTTGTCTCTTGGACACAATGTGTGGTGTTGTGCAGGAGATCTAACCACATACCGGCAATGCCTGCTCGTCTACCCTCCCTTTAATTACCCAGCATGCTTCACTCCCCGTGGCTAAATAGCCTCCTTTGTTTTAGTTCACCCCACTGCCTTTGTGGACATCCACACATGCTCATGTGAACAGTTAAAACTGTCTCCCACTGCTGACAGCTTTGTGATCTGTTGTTTGCAGAGGTTCCTGCGATGAGGCTCAGCAGGTAGACGGCGCTGTGGCGATCCCGGGACAGCCACGCGGACTAATCACCTGTAGTAGAACACAGCACTGCAGCTGTTTCATGATGATATTTTACTGATATTTGTTTTTCTTCTGTTATTGTTGCATCTCCTTTCTGTTACACGTTTAGCTTCACTTTGAGTTTAATTCTTCAGTATTCTCTCTGATTCTGGTAGATAATGAAAATACAAACCTGTCTGTGATTCTTTTAAGAATAAAAACAAAATCACTGTTAACTCCTGCTTTAGAGGTAATCCAGCAACATGCCAGTTCTCCTAATGTCTGTTCTGCTATTGAACATCAATAAAAAGTTCATAGTCAGAGATTTGCTGAGATGACTTTGTTTCTTTGCCTCGTGCACTCCTGATTTCTCTTGTCTGGTGTATCATTAACATCAGCCCGAGGCTCTAATAGATTACCTGACTGAATGACTGCTATTAAGATAAGATGAGCCAAGCTGAAGTGGGGTGTGCACATGCGCACGACGTTATCGGTCTCGGTGAACTCGGACACGGTAACCAATCCACCCGGTAAACTGATCCCAGAGCAGCGTGACCGATGAACACGGGACAAT